ATCTATCTATCTATCTATCTATCTATCTATCTATCTATCTATCTATCTATCTATCTATCTATCTCTCTGCCTGCCTGTCTGTCTGTCTGTCTATCTCTCTGCCTGCCTGTCTGTCTGTCTGTCTATCTATCTATCTATCTCTCTGCCTGCCTACCTATGTATCTATCTATCTATCTGTCCGTCTGTCTATTCCTCTGCCTGCCTGTCTGTCTGTCTGTATATTTATCTATCTATCTATCTATCTATCTCTCTGTCTGTCTGTCTGTCTGTCTGTCAGTCTATCTCTCCGTCTGTCTGTCTGTCTGTCTATCTCTCCGTCTGTCTGTCTGTCCATTGTTCTGTCTGTCTGTCTGTCTGCTTTTCCTCTGCAGGAGGTTATGTTATTATTTTTGTCTCTTCAGTGTTGTGTTAGTCACACACACACACACACACACGCACGCACACACACACTCACTCACTCCCCCGGTGTGTGTCGGCATGTGGTTTAGGTGTCAGCTCATGAGCAGCAGGCAGTAGCACCTGATGTCTTTGTTGCTAAGCTCCTGCTCCTGTCTAGCAAGTGTCACCGCGAAACTATCCTGGGAGTGTGCCCCTGTTGCTATGCGACGTGAACTCCGGTGACAGGCTGACAGTTTGACCCCTGCTACGCTCGACAGTGACAGCAGCAGCAGCAGCATGTCGTTCTCATCTCGTCTCTCCAACTTCAACCTGAGGTGTGTTTTCGGTTGTCAGAGTAAATACACAGTGGGTGAACGAACCTTTGACATTCCTATAGCTCACTAGGCAGTAGGCACTAGGTCATGGGTTCGATTCCCAAGGAACGCAGGAGCTGATTAAATGTATACCTTGTAGTGATGTGCAACTCCATATGAGGCCAATGCGATGCACATCTCGATGATACATTAAAGATACATATGAAGCAGCTGCTGATGCGATTCGATTCACCACTATTAGGATGCAGTGCAATCCGATTTCGATTCGTAAAAGTAGTAAGTCTCAGTTTTGGTCCGTCTACACTGAAACGCAACCCCGGAGTTTTCAAACTAAAATGGGGTTTTCGAAAAGAAAATTTGATTTTTAAGGGTCGAAAATGCCGGAGTAGTGTAAACGGCAGGCGTAACCGTAGCAAAAGTTATGCATTTTTTAAAAGAAAGCGCACTAGTGTGAATGTAGCCTAAACCCAGCAACAATGTCTATTTTGTCAATCGCTAGTGCGCCTCTTGAGGTCAAGGGAAAGATGGTTACCTGCACAGCTTTTACTAGCTGGCCTCCGTTACACTAGCACTTAATTGAAGTTGAAAATAACCCAGAATATTTCTTCGAGTTCTCTGCTGGCTGACCCGAGCTCTCATTTACACTGATGAAATGGCAGCCGTGTCCCTTCAGCCGAGCGCTTGAGTTTTCATGCCGGTCAGGAGGTTCTCAAAACATCTCCAGCTACACACACACACACACAGCTCATTGATTTGTAAGGTGGCATGCGTCTCGATGAGTGAACGTGTGTGTTTGCGCGCATGTTTAAAGCAGCTCCACATGAAAGTTTGAACCCAACACCGCAGTCACGTGATCTGCTCTACAACGAACCCCGTTGTTCGCGAGCAAGTTTGATTTGGCCGGCCGTCAGTTATTGCACACACAGGTGTGTGTCTGTGTGAACGGCAGGACTATTTGCCTCCGCCGTCACTGTGGTTTCTATCCTAGTTTTGAGTCTTTGATGGTGGATTTTATCGGGATTTAGTGCAAAATAAGTGACATTATTAGCTTACAAATCATAAGCGGAGATTTGCTACCAGACGACAGTAATTAGAGATGTTTGCTAAGTCAAGAATCACGTTTACTGTTGCTCATGTTTAGTGTTAGTGAGCGTTCAGTGTGTGCATCGATTATTAGACGCACCATTTTCACCTGCTGGACCATAAAACAGGTTTTAAAAAACTGTGATGCACAGCACACTGATTTTCATGTTCACTATTTTCTAATGTTTTCCAATACAAATATTTCAAAATTCTTTAATGAAGATGCATTTACTCGAGAAGCAATATTTTGATAAAACACACTAGAAACTCCATAGCAACGCCCTGGAAACCACCCAGAACACCCTAGCAATGGACAGCACTATAAGAAAACACATAGCAATTGCATAGCAACACCATGGGAACCATCCAGAACGCACAGCACCATAAGAAAATACCTAGCAACTGTATAGCAACGCCCTGTCAAAACACAGAACCATAAGAAAACCCCTAACTGCATGGCAATGCCCTGGATACTGTGTGTGTGTGTATGAGTGTGAGAGAGACACCCTGGCGACTGCGTAGCAACGCCCTTGCAATGCACAGCACCATAAGAAAATACCTAGCAACTTCATAGCAACGCCCTGTCAACACACAGAACCATAAGAAAACCCCTAACTGCATGAGAATGCCCTGGATACCGTGTGTGTGTGTGTGTGTGTGTGTGTGTGAGTGTGTGAGTGTGAGAGAGACACCCTGGCGACTGGTACTGTGTAGCAACGCCCTTGCAATGCACTGCACCATAAGAAAACACCTAGCAACTGCATAGCAACACCCTGGAGATCATGGAAACCATACAGAGCACCCTAGCAACTGCATAGAAATGCCATGGCGATGCACAAACCATAAGAAAAGACCTAGAAATTGCATAGCAACGCCCTGGATACCATCCAGAACACCCTGGCAACTGAATAGCAACACCCTAGCAACGCACATGGTGGTCAGATTTGCACAGATTATTTTTTCTTTATTTTGACTTTAATTGAGAATATTCCTGAATAAATAAACATGTTTCACTCGGATGCTACTGCTGTTGAGAATTCACTGGGGGGGGGGGGGATG